TCGGGAACGTTGGAAGCACTGTCTGACGCGTCCGCCTCTGCGACCCGAAAGGAGAAGCGGCGATGGAAGACGAAGAAGATGATATACTTTTGCTCTGATTAATCTTGTACGGACTGGGGCCATTGTTACTCATATACATTAATTAATCCTGGTAAGTTTGGTAAGAAACTCAGGTTGTCAGGAGGGAAAATACATATCGAAAATTCAGCGCTTAGCCAAACCGTAGTCCAAAAACTAGGCACATGCCTGTACGTAAACAACTATCAACAACGTTTAACATGGGAAAGAGTATTACGAAAAGGCAAACAAAAATAACCAAATATAAAATAGTACCTTGCAGATGTAGAGCTAAGTACAGGACTAGCGATCGAGGATTCTAAAATGCTCTTTGAAAACATAGAAGACAATAACAAAGATTAGTACTATGTGCAAGGTTTCTTCTTCTCAACCTGTTGACGTATGACTCTGGACAAATTGCCGGATCGACGGTAAAGTAGTGAGATACTACATGTTGAAGAAATGCCTCTTCCAATGCTAAAACGAGAATGGTTCATACGAAAATGAATTACATAATTTCCCGTTATCTACGTCTTCATTTAATCAACTATCATCGTATATCTTCGGAACTTTTATATTCTACTGCATCCCAGTGTTTTGAATTATCGCCATCATTATTATATAAATTCTGATTTAGTTTGGGCAGGAATCGTTATCGATCTACAACTACAGAAAATCTAAAATAAAGTTTTCAATAGGGAAAAGTAAACAAAAACAGTGGATCAAAACCCAACCTGAAGTTCATCGATGGCGACTTTCAAGCCTACAGACGACTACTCGTTTAAATGCACCAATATTACAGGGAAAAATTAACTTAATAAATTTTGTTATTGACTAATGATTAATGACTAATGATTTTAGAACACGTTTTGATGCCGACAATTTCGAGCAGTGTTCCTCGGAGTAAATTAAGAATCAAAACTTCTGAAATTTACATAAAGCTTCAAATTCGTGAAAGATCATCGAACTGCATATGAAAATCATGGAAATTTTCGTTCTTTCAGCTGCTTCGAATTCCGACTATTGTCAGCAGTTGAAATTCACTGATTCCGCTACTGTGCTATTAGATGCAGGGTGCAGACGAAAATGATAGTTCTTCTTATTACTTACTTCCGAAAGATAGACACGCGGCTTCAGGATGCGAACCGAATATGGATTACGGACGCTGGTGAAGAAGATCAGAGGGGTAGGTGAAAGAATTCATGAATATTAATGACTTGATGATACAGGACACAGCATGGCAGCGAAGGACCGCCATCGCAGAATATCGGATTTTCCTTAACAACATAGCAGACTGTCGGCGCCCAAGCACAAAAATACAAACTGTAACCACTATCAAGAGCAGCCGATGTCTGGCACTGGACTCCAGTGGTTCAGTTTTAATCCCTGCTTACAGTGCGATCACGATTACAAACATCTTCTTCGACAACCGTTTTAGGGAACTGGCGAGGACCAAAGGTTTTTGCCCTTTCACGGAAGCACAGAAGCAGAACACGATGATACTGAATCATGGCTCCTCCTCAAAATAGGGTTAAATATGGTGCGAACTTACTCGCCACTAAAAAAGCACGAAAAACTGCTGAGTCTGAAGAGAAGTCAA